TAAGTGCTTCAGGCAGTTGTTCTATTTCTATCTGCAAAGATCTTTTTTTAAAAAAAATCTATTGTGGGATGAATGCCTCCCATCTTTCAAGATTTTCAAGCCTCTCTTCACAAAGCTTCTTCTTCCCTTTTGCCCCATGGCAACTATATGATTATTTTTCTTTGATCGAGATTCCAACAGCTACTGTTAGCTGGGTAGATCTTGGCAAATTAACTTCTTATCCCATCAAGGGAGTTAATAGTTATCTGATGAAACATACTGTACATACAAGCAACTAGTTCTGGACCTGGCACAGGGTAGGCACTGAAAAACCGTGGCTACTGTTATTACAATTCCAACGCCCCTACTAAGATAGGTGCAAGCTTAAATAGCAACAACAAACCTGGAAATAAACAAAAATTTGACCTTGAAAAAATGAACTGTAAGATGTTAGGAGATAGAATGGCATATTGTTGAAACACGCACTAAATCCTTAAATGACTTCTAGTTGACTAGAAGGGAGAGAAAAATCAATCAGCCAAGTACTATGGATTTGGAGAAATCAAGTCAGCAGAGTAGGGCTTAATTTTGTTGTCCATTTCAACCTCATCCGGGACAACCTTCCCGTCTTATCTGCTCTGCACATCAGCAAATGCCTGGGCTCTAGACTCTGCTACACCAGTGCTACAAGGATCAAACTGCTGCCTCCTGAGTTTCCCGGGCCCACAGTTTCCACAATTACAGATAACGGCCCCTAAAGCCTGTAACTTGGAGAGAGCTGACATCTAGTCCCAAGCACGTCCCCAGCCTGCCAAAAGACGCCTTCAAAAAAAAAGAACGTTAGTGGAATGCATAAAAACCACAAAACACATCTGTTACCAAGCCCTCCACAAACGTCAATTTCCAGAACCTACGACAAATTTTTCCTCCCGGACATCCCGGTTTTTCTCTGCACGAATTCATCGCCCGGCACCCACTGTCCCTGCCCTGGGTGTCACGCACACCGTTCCGACGTGGAAACACACACTCGGCCGGCATTCCCCGGCCTGCGGACCCGCTGGCCTACTCGGCCGGGCACGGACGCGGGGCCACTCACAGGAAGTTCTCCATGGCGATGCGGACGATCGAGCCTTCCACGAAAGGGCCGGACGGCTGCAGCGGGGCCGGCGGCAGCGACGGCAGTGTAGACGGGGCCGACGTCCTTCTCTTGCTCGGGATCTCCGACGATGGCTCTCTCGGCAGCGCTCTCTTGGAGGTCTGGGGACTCGGGGTGGACGTCTGCCCGCTCGGAGCCGCCATCCTGGGCCCCTCTCAGTCCCGCAGCTGCCTACGTTCCCACCGACCCGCCACCCCGCTCCCGGGTTCCTGGCTCCCGCGCGAACTGCGCGGCGCGCGACAGCACCCGCGGACCCGCGCGGAGCGTGCGCACTTCCGACCCGCTCCTTGCGGCGCGCGACAGCACCCGCGGGCCCGCGCGGCGCGTGCGCACTTCCGGCCCGCTCCTTGCGGCGCGCGACAGCACCCGCGGGCCCGCGCGGCGCGTGCGCACTTCCGGCCCGCTCCTTGCGGCGCGCGACAGCACCCGCGGGCCCGCGCGGCGCGTGCGCACTTCCGACCCGCTCCTTGCGGCGCGCGACAGCACCCGCGGGCCCGCGCGGCGCATGCGCACTTCCGACCCGTCTGTTGCGGCGCGCGACAGCACCCGCGGGCCCGCGCGGCGCATGCGCACTTCCGGCCCGCCAGTTGCGGCGCGCTGGGTGGAGGCCTGTTTGTGAAAACGCTGAACGGATAATGATGGGAAAGGAGCGTGAATTAACGGGACGTTCTTCTCTGTACAGGGGGGTTTCGTTTTGTTTTAATCTAGGAAAAGGTGCCTGTTGCTTTTAGCATTTTGAAGGCCACTTCGGCTCGATGAGGACCCGGATGCTCTTTCGGACCCCAGGTCACGTGTGGCGGGAGGGGACAAAAGGGCCCGTTGCTGGGGCACCTGGGCGCCGCGTCGTCCAATCGGGCTGTTTTCATTGCCCCCGGCATGCCCGCCTTTGCCTTTACGAAGGTTCATTTTTTTTGTTTGTGTGCTTTCGGTTTCATGCCTCTTTCGTTTCAAAAAGTGAAAACAGACTGTATATCGTGTTAGCACTCTGGCGCTCTCACACTGGTGGAAAAGAGTTACATTGCGTAGATTTCTCTTCCTTGACTTCCCATCCCTTGGTCCCTAATTCCCTACTAAAATTTCCTCCCCACCCTGTCTAGAAATCTCCAATTTAGCGCTGAATTCATTGAAAAACGCTCTTCTCATCAAATCGATGTCAACTCATATCCCGACCTTACAGGACGGGGGTAGAACTGCCCTTTTATGTTTCTGAGACTGATTTTATGGGAGTAGAAACCCCATCTTTCTCCGTCAGAGCAGCTGGTTTGTTGACCTTGCGGTTTGCTGCCCTATAGTGCACCAGCAGGGGATTCTATTCCAACCTTCTCCCACTTATCTATTGTTTTAGTATGAGTAGACTAGGGAAACAAATTCATAGAAACTCAAGATGTGTATAAAAAGAGGTTTATATACAAGAGCAGGTTGAATATTGAGGAAACATCCCAGTCCTGTCCAAGCCCATATGTCCGATACCAATCTATAAAGTCATCTTTAGACTCACGAAACACATGCAATGACTCGGAATGCGGTACGATCACAGGCCAGTGGGTGGAAAGTCTTTGGATCCAGTGGTGTAAGCATCTCAGCACTGGCAGGGGTCTCTACGTGGCTTCTCTGGTGTCAGAGGTCTGGTTGCATCAGGGTAGGTCCATGTGGCTTCTCCAGCTCAGAACACTTGCATAGTTGCAGGTATCTTGTCAGCTTCAACGTCTCCCAGGGAGTGAGCAAAGAGACTGTCTCCTACCTCCCAGAATCCCAGCCATGCCCACACAGAAGCCTCATTGACTATGACCTGGTTGAGAGTAGACTCCACCCCTTCACTGGTAATCCTCTCAAATTGACACCAGATTATGTAACGACCACATCTATCTAACCGTAACCCTCATTATAGATGAGCGAAGAGCCTGCCATAACTATTTAGTACCTACTGTGTGACCTACTGGAGGCTGGGAGCAATGAAGGAAATAAAACAATGAGTGTGTTGGGAGAAGTACTGAAAGACTTGGGGGAAAAGGGCACTTCAGGCAAAAAACATAGCAAGGACAAAGGACTGAGGTCGGAACAACATGGGGACATTAAGGAACAAGTGAAAGGCCAGTGTAGATGCAGTGTAATGAACAAGGTAGCCTAACAATATTATCCACTATATTATTGGTGTTGGCTGCTGTGGTACACTGTTCTCTAGAGAAGTAAAACCAGTGATTTTATATATATGATTTTATGTGCTTTCTATAATGAAATTTGTATCAAGAAATAGGCTCACACAATTGCAGAAGTGGGTCCAGTGTGATTCAAGGCTGTACGTCAAATGCTAAGCTGGAAGCTTCTTAGGACTTGTGAGGCTGTGGGAACTGACAAGGCAGGAAGTCCATAGGCTGGGGGAAGCAGAAGTGGATGAATTCAAGGCCAGCAGGTCAGCTAGCAGGTCAAGTGTTAACGTAGGTTGCTGATGAAAATCCGGGTGGGCAGGAAATACAGTGGACCATTTGGCTCAACCAAAAAAACAACCAGAGCTTGATGAGCCGTGTAGGAGCTAGACCTGCAAAGAGCAAGCAAACTCCACAGAGACTCATATCAGACCATCAGGAAGGAAACAGTTCTCCCTGGAGACTACTTATATGGGTACTGGAAACAGTTCTCCCTGGAGACTGCTTATATAGGTACTAGGCCACACACCCAGGCAATCTCCTTTCTATTTCCTCAGGGCTGTGACTTGAATAAAGAGCTGGCACTCCACCTTAATCATCTTACAAATAATTGCTGCCCACAGCAAATCCCATCATGGAGCTGATTACAGTAGGGCACATGCCAAACATCCCAGCAAAGGTGACACGCTAACCCAGCTGCCATCCAGTCTGCTCTGACCCATGGTGACCTAATGTAGAACAGAGCAAAATACTACCTGATCCTTAAGATTGTGGCGTGTAGAATCCAACTTTATAGCTGTTCATGTCATTGAGGGCTCATTTTCTGATGACTCTCGACTAAACCTAATGCCCTTTTTAGCTATTGGTCCACCGTGATGAAATGTATATATTGTTTTTAAAGCTGTAGGAAGCCATGGGGTAGTTTTAATCAAGACTGAAACATAGTCTAATTCCAGTGGAGTGGGACATAGACCAGTTCAAGTTTTAAAATGATTACATTGGTTGCCCTGTGAGGAATGTATTAGAGAGTGTCCTGGTCGATTGGAAGCAAGGCGACTATTTAGAAAGTTATTGTACTAGGACTTCTGGACCCACAGTACTTTCTTAAACCTGGGCTGCTTTTTCTCACACATAAGAAATACACTCTTTTTCCAAATTCTAACCAATGAAAATAGAATAATTAGAAAGCATGTGAACTTGTAACTATTCTACCACCCACTGTCATCAAGTGGATTCCAACTAGCAATGCCCTATCAAACAGAGTTGAATTACTACTTATGACTTTGGAAGATATGAAATGGGCGCAGAAAGCCTAATCTTTCTCCCTTGGACCATCTGGTGGCTACTCTATCACCATGATTGAGTCAGTGCTGACTCACAGCCAACCCCCTGTGTGTTTCAGAGACTGAAACTCTAGTTTATGGGAGTAGAAAGCCCAGTCTTTTCCTTCAGAGCTGCTGGTGGTTTTGAACTACAAACCATGCAGATCACAGCCCAACTTATAACCACTATGCCACCAGGGCCCCTCTAGTGGCTACTACAATAGTAAAAATCATGATAAAATGCTCGTGCCCAGAAGGGTTCAGTACTGGTATCCCTACTTAGCTAATGATTTTTTTTTTTACCTTCAAAAGGAATTTGACACACTATTTTAAAAGCCTTAAAAGAGTCAACTCCTTGAAAGAAAAAAAAAAGAGTCAACTCCTTGAAGACATTTGAGGGAATATGTTCTAATGGAAAAATAATATAGACAGTCATAATAGGAGTTGATGCCTTTGAACCTTATGATGTTGGCGGAGATAGGTATATTAAATACACCCAGCATGGACTACCAGAAGAACAAGCAAATCGATCTTGAAGTGCAGTCAGGATGCTCCTTAGGATCAAGGTGGGTGAGACTGTTTCATGCCCTTTGGAGATGTTATCAGGAGGGACCAGTCCTCAGAGAAGGACAGCATGCTTGCTAGAAGGTCCACGAGAAAGAAAACCCTCAAGGAGCTGACTTGGCGGAGTGGCTGGAGCAGCTAGCTCACCCATACCCTCGGTTGTGAGGCTGGGGAAGGACATGGTGGTGTTTATATTCTGTTGTGATGTGTCAGAATGCACTAAACTGCACCTAACAACCATGGGAGTTGAAGGCAGAGAGCTAAGCTTCTCTCTTCTACCACAATCAACTCTTACATTAAGAAAATTGTGTTTCTGAACTTGAAAGTAGAGGATGAACTCTTGAACTTAGGATGACTCCACAAATTCAGACTCCAATCAGCAAGGCAGTCATACTCCAACACCATCACTTATAAAGGAAAATGTTAACTGAGTATTTTGTAGTTACCGAAGACATACATGTTAAATCTATCAGCAACCCAGATAGGGTTTCCAAGGCTGTAATTCTTTGTAACCTCAACCTTCTTCCTGAGGAGTGGCATGTGGCCTTGAACTGAAGACCTTGCAGTTAGTAGCCCACTTCTTACCTGAGAGCACCCCCATATACATTTAACTTGACACTGCTAGATTTATTCATTCCCACTGGTGAAAATTGTCTTGAGTGGGTGATATTAAAGAAGCAGAAGATGGGAGCAGGTCTTTGAAAATAAAATATATCAGCTAACCAGAATCTGATGATAATGAATGGATGTGAAACCACAGGCAATTCTACACTTCTCAGAGTTTAAAGTCTCGCCATCAGTCAGACTTCTTCATCCCTTCTTGTTAACGGAGAGATGTATAATGCAATTGTAGTTTACATTTCTGCTGCCTAAGGAGTAAGAGGCCAGGGGCCATTTTGAATCACAGCTTTCCAATTTTGTAGAAATGGTAAACAGACTATAATGGATTAAATTTGCATCCTCCCAAAATACTTGAGAACACGTCTAGGCCATGATACCAAATATTGTATGTTGTCCTTCAGTTTGTGATCCACCGTAATTGTCCTCCTTTATGTCTTGTAAACCCGAGCCTTTTTTATTTTGACCAGGCTAGCTTAGGGTGGGTCGAATCATGAATCACAGTCTTAAAAGAGCACGG